TCGTACTTGAACTAACTTTTAACCTTAAAAAGTCGTTATGAGTCGAAAATTAATTACTGTTAACTATTAAAAAGTCGTTATGAGTCGAAAATTAATTGTTGTTAATTATTATCGGTTGCCAAGCTTATGCATGTTTGCGATGGTTTAGGGGTTCACTTGCAATTTGGTCCTGTACCAGTTGTGGGTGTGGCTCTAAGCTAGTGTGTACATGTTTTTTTTCTTTTTTTTTTCGTTCTTATTTGTTTTATTGTACTTTTACTAAGAACTCGACTGCAAATTTGTTTTATTTGAGTTTCTTGTGTAAGCGGAATAAATATATAAATAAATAAAATGATTAAAGTCTCTTCTGCTGATAATTGCGAAGAATGTAACATTACTGAGTCTACTGAACATCTAATTTTTGAGGAAGGTTTGACATCCTTAGACAATCTTTCATCAAGCTTTCACACTTAAAAAAAAGCCGCAGTGGCCAAGTACCCAAACAATTTGACAGTGATTTACTTGAGACTCATGCAACATCTTATGAATATCAAACACATATTGATTTTCTGCATCTTTTTTATTTATTAGAAGTAGAGAAAAATAACAAATAACACCCCTAATAGACCGTCGGATGCCGAGCAACTCAATGAAAGTCGAGGAAAGTTCCTCCACCACTTTGACTCGACGCACTGTTTTAGATAAATGTTTCACAACCGAGAAACCAGATACATTATGTCCGACGGAACCGTCGGTGGCATATGTATCGTAGCCGTTGTTGCAATAAAAAACGAGCTTAACATCCTCATACAAAAGAAGTTGACATTTTGTTTTGAGGTAGAGATCGATTCGAGAATGTTCATAAAGACTCTACATTTCTTGGTAATGAAATTCCAGAGAGGAATTGAATCTATCTTATCAAAATTGTGACGAAGTTTTTGATAGCAAAAAGTGTAGCTACAAGTGACAGTATCACTGAGAGATATAATTTCCTGAAAAAAGCAAGGATTTATCTTCTTGACTTTAATTAACTCCTTGGCAGTGCAAAAAAGGGCTGTTTCGGAAACTGGCCATTCAACAGCTATGACACTGAGAATATGTTGAGGAGTTGAGGGGGTCAGTCCAGTACAACGCTTCAACATTCGGTTTTCAAATGCTTGTATACGCTTTTTCAATATATTTTGGGAAATTGCAACATATGGAATGTCCAAATTCAATTTGGACTTGACTAGAGATTTGTAAACCGTCAAAGCATTTTTGGGAGGCAAGCCTGCCTGATTGTTTGTCATGAGTTAGATAATGTTGCATTTAGACTGACAGACTTTGAACGCCTTTTCATAATGCCCACGAAGGCTTAAACTGTCACTTAAAATTCTCCCAAGAAATCGAAGAGATTTTACCTGATTAACTAGGGTACCTTTGATAAGAAGTCTGATTTCACGTTTAGAACCTTCGGCAAAATAAATAGTATTTGTTTTGCTGGGGTTAAAATATAAATTAAGATCAGCGCATCGTAAAACAAGTTCGCTTTCATCGAGAGGTTATTGACAGCAGCTGAAAAAGATGAGTCCGCAGATACAATTAGGAAAACATTTGCAGATTGAAAAATATGAGTTTTGTCGTCTTGAAGATCATGCAAAGAAGCCGCGTATAGATTGAAGAGTATGGGGCTTAGACAAGTGCCTCATGAGATACCACCGTATATTTCAACTTTTTCAGTACCCGTCACCAACACACGCTTGGATAAAAAATTAAGTATCCACAGCCGCATTTGAAGAGGAATCGAAAAGTTTAAGAGAATTCTACCAAGCTTAATCAAGCTGACACAGTCATAGGCTTTGCTGACGGCCAGGGAAAGCATGACAACCATTTTCCCTGCTTTTTTTAAGCTAGCTATGAGAAAAGATAGTTCATTAACGCACATATTCGTAGATTTGCATTTTTGATAGGCGTAAGAAGGAGCTGGAATAATGTTCTCAGTTTTCACGAAACCAGTTAGTCTCTCCTTAACCATGACGTTGATAGTCTTTATGAGTACAGATATCAGTGAAATTGGTCTGAAGCTACTTGAAACATTTAAGTCTTTACCTGCCTTAGGAATGGGAACTGTTTTGATGCGTCGCAAATCTGAGGGTATAAAGTTAGTGGACCAGTAGTTGTTAATTGCATGCAAGAGAATGCTAAAGCTTCCTCCAGACAGTGCTCTGAGTATGTCGTACTTAACTCCATCACAACCTGCAGCAGTAGCTCTCTTTCCGGATGTAAAACATACATTAGTGCATGTAGTGAAAAGGGTGTGTTTTTGAGACTACTAAAAGAAATTGAAGGTATTGTAATCCACTTGGCATATAGCTCTTGAGCATATCCCAGTATCTTTTATTATCATGGTCATTCTACACAGCACAATCGTTTAATTTTCGACTAGAATGTCGATGATCATTAATGTAATTCCAGAAAGAACGTGGGTTACCGTTACCACATAACTCTTTAATCGTGATAGCTCTATGCGTCCTTTTCGCCTTTCCAACTGCAGACCTCCATTCTTTCAGTGTTTCCGTATGTTCAATGTAGTTACCTGGATTGGCATATTTACTCATTTTTTTTAATTGCAGTTTGGTATTTTCAGAAAATTTTTGAGGTTTAGGTGAAAAGGAGTCCAAGGCACTTTGAATTGACGATAAATTGGAAGGAAGATCAACTTGAGAAAGACGTTTTTGTTGGAAGGAAGGAAAGAAGTTGTGTGAAATGAAATGTTTTATTTTCTTAATGAAATCGTTGCAACTGTGAAAGAGTGCTGACTTTTGCCAATGGACGTGTTCCAGTTGAAAGATAAAATAGTTGAATTCGAGAAAGTTAGGTCCAAGACAATGCTCGCCGTGCGACCACTCCGGTTACAGTGAAAGGTAGTATGGCCGTTATTTAAGACCCTGAAGCTGCTGAAATTGATGGCATTCATAAGGATCTTGCTTTTGTTGGTCTAGACTTGATCGCCATACAAGCAATGTTTTGCATTAAAATCTGTAGCTAGGCTCACATTTTGTTCGCCTCCAAGAAAATCACATAATCTCTGAATCGCATCACGAAAGGTTTGTACATCGAGACTGGGTGGAAAATAGCATGATGCTATGAAAAGATTCGATTTAAGATTCATGGTTTTGATGATGATAATGTCAACAGCAGAGTTATAGGAAATACGTCTGAAATTGACATCTTTCTTAACTAATATACTAACACTGCCATAGCCATCATTTCGACATTTGGTGGCTGAAGCATAATTCGAAACTTTAACTTCAAAACAATTTTCGTCTTTCAGAAAAACTTCACTTCAGATGTAGAAATCAACTTTATTTGAGTTCAAGTAAAACTCCAAAAACGACAGGTTACGTCGAACACTTTGGATATTGTAAAAAGGATATCATATTTAAACTTAAGAAGGAACGCCGGCGGATTTCCCCCTAGTGCTGGGTGCATGAACGGGACGAGAATTGGCATAGACAGACATTTTTTCTTTAAATTCTCTAATGAGATTATGGGGGATCATCGGACGGATACTTTCTTTAATCGCAGAGACTAATCTTTCAAGTTCTGAGGAACGCAAATAGTTGTTTGAAATTATTGGACGCCGAAGACTTGTTCCAGACGGCTTGGGAGGTGCATTGAGAGAAGGTTTGGTGGGTGACCTGGGAGGAGATTTTAGACCATTCCATCATGGCTAAGGTGAGAAGCTGCTGAAGACTTGATCGATTTGATTTCATGTTGCAAAGTGTTGTGGACTGAAGATATGTCGAGCTCTAAATTTAAGTTGGATAACCGATGTAACAACATTTTGCAAGACATAAAAACGTTGATCTTTTGAATTATGTACATATTTTTTTTTGTTGTTTGATTTGTAATTTTCGATTATGTCATGCATTATTTTCTAAAAAGTGAAAAACGAACAATAAAGACAATTTAATTTAAATTTTGAAATATGTTCATCAAACTGCTTTATTTTGTGTTATAAAGTGATCTTACCCAATACCTTCTCATATATTTAAATTTTTTATCTAATCAATGCCCTTTATCAGTAATCAATAAACAAGTTCGCCTACGATTATATTAACTTCCTTCCTATTATTTTTTATGAATTTATTATTCACATTGATTTCTTTATTTTTAAAAGTATGTTTTCGTTTAGAGTTTCCTGTAAAACAATATGGTTGCTTATTATATGTGTTTGAATGTATTTGAACATCGAATTTGATAATTTGAGAGAGTAAGTAAATGAGCGACATTCGTTTGAATGTATTTGAACCGTTTGCCACCTTCCTCGTGGTCTCCTTAATAAACGAAAATTTTTGCTTTCATTTATTTACTTAAATAAACTTGTTACATACAATATTATAACAATTTTTATAATTTTTTATAATAAGTTTTCAAAAATCATGCATGTTTTCAAAAATCATGCAGATAACCATCTGGTCGGGAGAATTAGGTGTCATTTTCTTAGCACCACCTGATGCGCTTGGTTAATGTTAAACAGAAGGGAATTTGTTTGAGATGCTTTGAATCAAATAAGTTAATCGGTGTAACGGAAACAGGTTTTCAATATGATGTTGGCTACCAACGACGACTCATCAAATGATAGTAGCGAACCATTAGTGAGCCATCAAACCTATGAGACAATGTGCGTTACACTTTATATATTAAAGTTCTATAATAAGACGATAAACTTACTTTCTGGTGTAAATGGATTTACGTTAGCTGCAGATAAATGATTTGCTGAAGATTTTTTCCAAAATAGTTTTTGGAGTAGCTGGTGTGTTAAAAAGACGTAACGCTTGCACAAATATTGTTTCTAGGTGAAAGTTAAGTTTTCACGAAAATATTTATGTGTGCGGAAAGCTATGCCTCAAACATGTACAAGATATGGTAATCCTTCCACGGTGAAAAATATGTATTATTTATCTTTCTACTTGTTTATGTACATTCTGGTAAGCCTTTTCAAACATATGTATAAAACATTTCTACTCTCTCTTAAGCCAACTCTATTAAGTTTTCAAAGGCAGCAAAAGAAAAATTTAATTTACAAAGCTTTACAAATATTCTACGATCACTAAGAACTACAGCTTTAAGTCCTTAGTTTAGATTTAAATCCCCATGGTAACTGATAATACTGCAAATATTAAAAACAGATAGTGGAAATTTGAAAAGTCAGCGTGAAATTCTGAGTTCATTAAGACATGTCCGTCCCTATGTGTAGGGCATGTTGTTGGCACTCTTCTGGTCGCAAAAGTGAAAATATCGACTTTAAGTTTAGTAGAAACATTGGAAGTTTTTGCGCGCAGGTTGGTATTGAAAATGGACCAAATTGGTCAGAGCAGAAGCCTGCAGTGAACCGTAAACTGCAAGCAACATAATTTATTTTAACAAGCTACTCGGAAATTATAAAAGTTAGAAGATTGAAATTTTCGACATTTAGTTTACAAAACACCCTACTCTTTACGTCCACAAATGGAAACAGTCGACCATGTCCACACAAAGTTACAAGTAATTAAATTTTAATTTCTCCACTTTTTTGAGATTTTATGCTTATTTATGGTAAGGCAAACAAGACAGAATGTTTAAAACTATTTTGTTCACTCCTCAAATGGAGATGTATTTTTAGTATACGGAGAAAGATTACGGGACAAAATTTACGTGCCTATTAACGGAGCAAGTTGTTTTCGCCGTTTGAATGGCACACATCAAGTAGGATGCACACGTGAGTTGTTTTTACTTCGAAGAAAATTGTATTTTCTTAGTTTTCGTTTATTTTTATGTTTTTTTTAGCCATTCAATCTGGCAGCTATGTGTTCGACTCTTCAATCATTGTCGCGAAAGCTTTTTGTTGGTACACATCTCTTGCTTATGAGGTGCATGTGAGGTATCAACTGCGTATAATAGCTTCCTCGTGAAATTTAATTCTTTTTTTTTTAATCTAGAAAATTGCCGCAGCAATGAAAGTGAAAAATATTTACACATCCATCGGCTGCAATCGCACCGCAGAAAGTGCTGATTGGGGTCACAATGGCTTAATTATATACGCCGCGAACAATGCAATAGCCCTTTACCAACACAAGGTATGCAAGATTTTAAAGCAATATCAAATAATAAAGGATATATTAGTATTTAGGAAATTCAGCTAAAATACTTGAAATTTACTTAAAACATACCAAACGAGTAAATACTGTAAAATGGCTGCAAACTTACGACAAAACTGAAGAATACCATTTTATATCTGGTTCTGATGATGGTCTGGCTATATTTTGGGATGTTAAGCAGTTAACCGAGCCTTTGGCATTTGAACTTAAAGGCCATGAAAGCGGCGTTAATGCTGTAACTGGTCTACAATACTGCAGTGGTGAATGGCTTTTCGCTACTGCAGCGGCGGATTCAACCGTCAAATTATGGTCCTGTAGACATAAGGAAAATGTTTTGCAGTGTTTTCAAACTATATTGCTAAATAGGAGTTTTTGTTTTACTTTAAAATTAACAAGGTTATCCAAGGCGGAACAAGTTCTTTTAGCTTTTACTACGGACGATAGAAATATAGATTTGTGGGTGAATAGCGCCGACGTAAAACAAACTTTTCAACATGTTCACAAACTGAAGGGACATGAAGACTGGGTAAGAGGGTTAGATTTTGCAAATGTTGAAGATGGGTTGCTGTTGGCCAGTTGTTCTCAAGACAATTTCATACGCTTGTGGCGTTTAAGCCCAAGGGGTGAGGAACAAGTTCTTAACAACAGGTCCGAAGTTTTTAATGTGCTGGGTGTGGGCGATATGCGAATGGAAGAGAAGATTGTCCAGTTTGGAAAATCTTGGTACGCCATCAGCGTAGAGTCAGTTTTATACGGGCACGAAGACTGGGTATATGGCGTTCATTGGCATAAATCAAAAAATCACGATCTCTGCTTACTTTCTTCGTCCATAGATAAAACTCTAATTATTTGGCAGTTCAGCGAAGAAGAAGGGATTTGGATGGAAAAAGTTCGTTTGGGAGAAGTCGGAGGGTGCTCTTTAGGTTTTTTTGGTGGCAAATTCTCTACCGATGGCTGTTCTGTGCTAGGTCATAGCTACGAAGGTGCTTTACATATATGGAGCAAGTCCCCAAATAATGAAAACCTCTGGACTCCTCAAGTTGTAGTAGGAGGACATTTCGATGATGTTAGAAATTTAGCATGGGAGAGGCAGGGCGAATATCTTCTAAGTGGTTCGGCAGATCAGACAACGCGCATACATGCACCTTGGCGTCAATCAGGGTGTAAGGAAGAAACCTGGCATGAATTAGCACGTCCTCAGGTGCATGGTTATGATATTCAAGCTTTAGCGTTATTGACGCGTTATCGATTTGCTACCGGGGCGCAAGAAAAAATTGTTCGAATTTTTCAGGCTCCTTCAAACTTTGTAGAAAACTTCAAGTTTATAAGCAAAGTAGAAAATGATTCAGATGATCTTGTGTTGGAGAGTAAGTTAAATACAACAGAGGAAAAAAAAAGAAAACTGACTTGCTCTTTTAGGTTTACCCGAAGGCGCTTCTGTTCCTTGCCTAGGATTATCTAATAAAGGTGTCTACAATATTATAAGAGGGGAGTCTCTAGAAACTAGTCATATTAAGGATGAATACCCTGAAAATTATTTTGTTTCTCATAGTTTCGAAACACCTCCGCAAGAAGAAACACTAAAGCAAAATACATTGTGGCCAGAAATACAGAAACTTTACGGGCACGGTTATGAAATTTATGCCCTAGCGGCATCCTCAGACGGTCGCATTTTGGCATCGTCTTGCAAATCCACCAATGCTGAAAATGCGCAAATTATTTTGTGGAATACGTCCAATTGGAAGCAAATACAAAAACTAAGTTCTCACTATCTTACGATAACGCAAATGCGCTTTTCGCCCAATGGGAAATATTTACTTTCAGTCTCACGTGATCGCCGTTGGTCTCTATTCGAGAGGCAACCTGTGAAAGATAAAACAAATTCTATTTTATTTGTATTAACCGCCTCTTCAGACAAGAGCAGTGGGATGCATACACGGGTCATATGGTCTTGCGATTGGTCTCACGATAGTCAATATTTTATAACTGCTTCTCGGGACGGAAAAGCTGCAGTATGGACAAGTAGCGCCAACGAAATGGAAAAATCAGTTTCGAATGGATGGCATTTACATAATACGTTAGAGCTCAAAGCAGAGTCAATAACAGCGGTGTCTTTTGCTGATCATATGCGAGAAAATGGGTCATATGTTGTGGCCTTAGGTTGTGAGAGCGGTTTTATTTATATATATGAATATAATGGTAACAATTGGATTTTGTTAAAATTATTAAGCAAATCGTAAGTACTTTTAATTGGTTAATCGATAGTTTGATAAAAAATTATTTCTTCGTAGCCAAGCCCATCATCTGACAGTCAAACGCGTACAGTTTCGCCCTCAAAAGAAAGAGGCAATAGATTATTATGAATTAGCCAGTTGTGGTGAAGATCATCTTGTCAGAATATATGCCATACAATTGTAATAGCATTCTGTTGAGAATCACACAACGGCCTGCTGCGGAACTAGGATAAGATGGTTGGCTACATATTATTTGAGCAACAAAATTTTGATTTGAGAAATTATCTATTTTGGAAAAGAGATGTGTTAAAGTGGCCATAGTAAAATGATTTGCCGATTTCGACAGCTTCGTAAAAAGTTGAAAAAGCAAAGGGAGCAGGCACAATAACGTGTTATTCCTATTTTCAGGACGGGACTTTTTTCTAACTTTTTACGAGACTTTGAGGGAATTATCAAACCTTTTGCTTTTTTATGAATGCAAATAAGTAAAACAAAAATATAAAACACATTTTATAATATTAACCAGGAAAAAGTCTTATTTTAAACTTAAAAGTTGTTCATCTCACTTTATATATTTTACACTTTATAAATTTATCTTTCTTTTACATTACATGGAACTTCAACTTATACTTCGCCTAATTTCCAAAAAAATGAAAATTGCGATAAAGGCGGTTTATTACTCGTATTGTCTTCCCTATTGTTTTGTTAAAGTTCTTTATATTAAAGAGTAATTTTGGATAATGGAATAATTCATATAATAAAATCAAAGTTTTGCCGGTTCATTCTTAAAATCCTTTGATAATTCCCTTAATCGTGTATTCATATCCTTTCCAATGTTATTGCAAAAAATCGTTCAGAATCGCGACTTTAGAAAAGTAGATTTACCTAACGTCTTCTCTTTGCATTCTTATGTTTATGCGATTATTTTGCCTTTTTTAACTCGTCCAGTAAACTCAACCACAACGTATTTCTTAGTCACTTTCTTAAAAGACTTCATTAATCAATCCAGCCAGTTCGCTCTGCCATTCAACCCTAAGGTTGTAAAAAAAAGAATGGTTTGTATAGGCCTTAAAGCTGCAGATTAGTTTTCATATATATATATTTTTTTATTATTATTATTATTTTAATTTTAGACTAATGAAATGTATTCTTAGACTAAAAAAAAAACCATTGAGCACTAGCATCGGCTCTAATTGATTATTGCTTTATATTTTATTATTAACTCTCAATCAAAACAATGCCTTAGTATTTTTTGAATGTTGCATGTCTGTCACTTCTTCTTTTCTCCACATAGAGAAAGCATGCACAATTTACAAATCATTCCACCACTTAAAAATAGAACATTCATCCTACACCATTTGCAAGCGAATCTTTGCTTACATGTAAGCGCATAAGCAATAGAATTTTCAAGTTTTGATTCGTCTTTGCTTGGCTGTTTTTATTTTATTCTATATGTTCGCAGGTAGGGATACGTAGACGTGCGCATTTCTGGGTCTTTTCAGTCCTCGAAGTAGTGTTTAGTAATTTTGATATACAAATGTTGCCATTGAAATGTCTTGTCAGACAGATTGTCTGGCCTGACAATCCTGTGTGGAAGAACACGTTTTTCTCCTTGCTTGCTCTAAAAAAATGTTTTCCCTTTAAAATTAAAACATCGAAAGCACTAATTTTATTCAATCAAAAGTTTGCTTTGTGGTGCAAGTAAGCACAATCTTGTGTTAAAAAAACCTGTTTGCTCTAAAAATTTTGTTGTTGTAAAACTAAAGTACCAACAACAATTTATTTAATTCAACCAAGATTGCACTTTGTAGTGGAAATATCCACAAACACGGTTAGAAACCAATTTGCAGTTCTACTGGTGTCAAATAAAGTTATCTGCCGTTTCAACTCTTTTACACGCTTTCGCGCTGCATCGTCTCTTTTGTTTAATTGAAATTATGACGGGGTGGATCTCAATACAGAGCCGTCTTTAGATTCTTGACTGAAGCAAATGATGGCTAAGCTTCTTTCTTTTTTTTTCTCAGCGCGGCAAATTTTCAATTTATTTTCGTTTTTCCGTCAACTAATTAGACCAGGGTTCTTTCGTCAGTGAGAGGAGTGTTCAACTTAAGTTGGACTAGCAGCAACAGAAATAGCAAGAATAATAGTACACAACAAGCATAACTGCATCACCAGCAAAATTACTTTTTCTTTGATGCGAAGTAATTGCAGTGATTAAATACATCTATATACGCCTAGGCAAGAGTCTCGACTTTCAAGTCAATTGTCGTTCAAATCTAAAGTGCGGTAGAGTTTTTAATAAAGCCAAAGATGCTAATGCTTTAAAACTTTAGTCTTAGAATTTATTCTCTGGCTCAATTTATAATAATAATAATAATACTAAATACATATATTAAATAATAAATAAAAAATACAAACAGTAATACCACCTACCCAAGTTTTGCCGACGTTAAGGACTTCTTTCTCTATACTTTGGACCTCAATCGAAAACTGCCGGCTTATGCTCGTGTGAAACAGGCTCGTGTTCCCAACGCCTATGATAAGACCGCTTTAAAACTAGAAGTTGACCATATTACTAATAGGAAGAAAGCTCTCCGTCTCGAAAGGAAAAGTAGCGGTTAGCGGGTCTTACATTGAAGAGTTATAGTTCTTGCAAGTTTTGCAGTGACTTACGTTCTCCTGCACATTCGACTACCCCCAGCCATTGCGTCGGTTTCTTCGCCTAGGGACAGCATTTCTTTGTGTTAGGTTACTCTTTATCCTTCCGCGCAAAACTTGATGTGAAATCAGTATTAAATTTTTTTCTTTCGCAGTAACAATAACTATAAGCTTTGACTCACAGTTCGTGCTCTGTTTATATTCACAGATTATCCTGGCAGTATAATTATTTAACAACAGAAACTATGAGAGTTTTAATAGAAGGTATGAACATATGGATAGCTTTGTTCTTCTTCTTCACATTCAATGTCGTTACGGTATTCTCTAAAGAGACAAAGAAACCGACGATGTATTTCAAAATGTAAAATAAATCGGGATACCCTGACAATTAGTTGCATAATTTCAAAAGTCAACTCAGTCTAACAACTATCATATCATTTCATCATATCATATCGAAGAGAGAGTAAGAAGAACTTTTGAAATTTTTATTTTCCTAGCAGTTTGAACATCAAAAATGTGTTCTAAACGGAAAGAAAATTTAAATGAACTAGAAGAAGATTTCATTGAAGATATTATGAACAATTATTTATTAAGAGAACTCAATAAATTTAAACTTTTTGCGATATCAACAAAAACCTACACCAATTATTTATTACAAAAACACAACAAATTTGAAATTTTTGCGTTATCAATAAAACTTAAACCAATTATTTATTAAGACAACTCAATAAATTTGAACTTTTTTTCAATAAAACCTATACCAATTATTTCTTAAGAGAACTCAATAAATTTGAACTTATTGCGTTATTGATAAAACCTACACCAATTATTTATTGAGAGACTCAATATATGTATAATATATTTAAAACATTACGTAAAGATGTACTTGGTACCACATGCACGTAAAACATGCAACGACAATTTGGTAGGGTACTGAAGTATGTACGTGTGTATTGTGCAGATTTATCCGGGCTTTTATCAATTTTTTTTGTAATAAATCTGTCTTACGTGTTAATTGTTCTTCAAATTTACACTTCCAGTTCCCATGATTGTGGTTATGCCCTTTCGGTAATAAAGTTTGAATTTCCCGAATATATTTAATTACAACTTTCCCTTGATTACAGATGGCAGTAATACTCAGGTTTTATTTCCTGTTTTGGATTTGGCATTTTTCGCTTTCAGCAGATCGTTATTGATTTGAAATAGACGTTCCAGTTTCTCAAATTTTTCCCCGCCGTCTTGGCTATTGCCAAATATTTCATACAATAACATGGCTCCTGTAACCAAGGCTTCATGTGCATCCCAGATAGCGTTTATTACTTCAATGAATGTTCCCGTTATATAAATGCATTGCTGTGTAACATCTTATTTCTCCAACGAAGAAGCTTTCGTTTTTTTTTATTTCTAATCCCTCGGTTCGATGAGAAAGTAACTTTAACTTGGTTCAACTAAGACCTTTTACGACATAACGGAAACACTTAGGATAGAGATGGCTTTTGTTTCAACATTTTTCTTTCAAGTTGCTGTCTTGCATAACATAACTATCGTACATTATTTTTATGTGACATGATCAAAATTGATAATGTAACTTCCGAAGTTCTCGAAACTTGGTCTCTAAGTTTTTTTTTATTCTGGTGTTTGTTGTAATTGTTTCAAGTAAAAATATCAATAGGTTACTCATTTTTTCAACGTTATCTTTCTTCTTGAGCATTGATCATTTTTATTCTTCATTCCATTTCGTCGTCATTTAGTTTTAATACGTCTGGAAGACGTTTCGGTTCGGTTCGGTTTATACAGCCGTACAATTTTTTTTTGTTCGCAGCGTTGTACATAAAAAGTAGTCATTTTTTAAGTTAGCCATTTGTAAGCTAGGCTAATAGCGTTGCCAACTCTGTTCTATCATCCCGATTGTATGATATAATAATTCTTTTTTAAACCCGACTGCTTTAGATGCTAGTGGTATAGACTTGTTTTTGAATTTAATTTTGACTAACTTAATTACAGTTTGGAAAAAATAAGCAGGAAGTAACGCAAAAGTTGTGGCTAAGAATATATATGTACTCAACAGTGTGCAGTTTCTCAGACTTGTTGATTTGAATTAAATTCGAGAATTCTCTGCCCTTCCATTTTGAAATTCCAACGAGTCAATAAAGTTTGCCTATGTCTCAAACACTATTTACCTGTGTGTGTTATTGCCGACAGTTTTGGATGGACGCCGCTATTCTGTAAAAAATTTGAAAATATATGCCGCAAAAATTTCAAAAGCCGGATTTTAAAAGTAACTGGTTTGAATCTTCTCTTGAAGAAATAATTTAAATGAAAATGCTAATCTAAAGATAATGGGTAACAAGCACCCGAACCATGTCTTGGCACTGCATCTCATGACAAACTGACCTCCTCAACATGTGAGGATACATTTTCCGCCACTTTTGTTTTATTGCCTTGTTCGTTTTTGCTTCCTATAAATTTGTCCTGAAGACTTCTGGGTAAATTCCCTATGGTTAGCAAAATATCATATGTTTCCGTTCGATACATATTTTAAACAAAAAATACTTTGTCGCAATCTTGATACATCTTAATTTAGATTTAGATTCAATATCGTTTGCTTTAAAGGAACCTCTGCAGGTTGATGATACCTGCAAAGAGTTCTTCCTAAAGCAGAATTGTTTTATAGAGGTTGATGAAAGCTCTACAGTTCAGTGTGATTAAAAACAAATAAAAAAAATAAATAAATAAAAAAATTAAAGGGCGGAGCTGACAATTTTTAGATTGTAAGATTTTATTTTTACTTTTTAACTAATTAGCAAAATGACAGAGGGGCTTTACATTTTAGTTTATAGAATTTTTATATGTAGGACTACCTTTAAAACATTTAGTAGGCAGTGTTTTCTACAGTAAATGAATTGGAAATTTTGATTATCTTTGGATCAGGTCAATTTGCTGATGAAAATGGCTGATCGTTTACCATTCCACGAAGTCCTTAGCCGGTTATTTTGGGAGTATCCTGAATTGTGGCATCACGGGCGGAAGCCGTTTAAAGGCCAGTACCAGAAACTGGCCAGAGAAGTAAGCGAGAAGCTGCACCATCAAGGGCGGTTTCGGAGGGCGCATTATTGCGCATACCTATTATAACGTAGCGTTTTAATAATTTCAGTCAACGTACAGTTTTGGATTAGAGTTGAGAAGACGAGAGCATTGTCACAGTAAAATGTAAATAGTTCTACCCTTAGAAAAATTGGTTGTAAATAAAAAGAGTCTTGTAGTGAAGACGTGCAAATGTATTTCTCTTAAAAAGAATATGCACGATCTAGCGATACGAACCGTTTTCGAGAAAAGCGAAAATCGTAACAAGATGTATAGTTCTCAATTAAAATATTAAGCTGAACGAATTCTTCAAGGAGTCAGTGTAGATATATATATATGTAGTAGTGCGCTTCGGATTTATTGTATGCTTGCAATTATAGCATTTTTAATATTTCCAAATTAATTATATTAACGTTACCCCAATTCTTTCCAAAACCTGGACTTTTTAACAATGTGCACATAAAAGTTTGCAACCATGTTTGACTTTCAACAACTTAGCCAGCACAATTAGACACAAACAAGCAATTACATTTCACATACCGTCTTCAGTTTAGGGCCGCTCTTTTTTTTTGTCTGAACAAAATTACGACAGTTTATTATCTGGACATCTCTGCTCAACAAACCAAAAAAAAAACAAAAGCAATTGGAAGTAATATAGATATGAGGCCAAATGGTGCGCGTCCAATTCAAGTCGAAGATGAGGAGCCTAAAATTGCTTCTAGAACTGCTTACAAATCGATTGGCGTTCTTTTAAGTCCGACTGGCTGGCAAAGACCAGTATTAAGTACATTCCATGGTAAATTTGACAGTTTGAATAAATGAGGAATATATTTAAAATTCTCTTTTTTCACAGCTTTTGAGATTTTAATTCGTGTGGCGGAAGGCAATTCTTGGATAGATGCAATTTTATAAACTTCACCACCTAGAAAAGGAGCAAAGCCTAAAGTTCTACCAAGTGATATGAAGCATGAACATAAAGATGAGTCAGTTGTTAGTAATCAATGCTTTGCAGATACCATTACCTGCCAATCGAGAGAACAGTAATCAATAGCACAATATATTGAAAATAAAACAGGAAAGTTTTAATAGCTTTATGTGCACCACAAAGACGTTTTGAAGTTTCGGACTTTTGTTATCACGTCTTAAGAGCGCAGCACGCCGATGAGATGAAGATGTCAAAGGGATTGTAAGAGTTAGTCTTTTAATAATTATATTAATTTTCTATACTTACTAAATTATTTATTCATATATATATATTCTATTATATATATGTATATATTCTAAATTATTCGCTGTCGTCTTAGTTTATAAATTGATTTTTTTACATTTCATTCTTTAAATTTTCGGTTTTGTGTGAAGGGTGTGCTTTCGATGTTAATTCCGCTATTTTTTCAAAGTGTTTACAAGTGCTTAAGACTGTTTAAGAATGTTTAAGAAATATACAAAACAATGGCCTATACTGAAAGGAGATTATTATTCGGCTGAAACCGTACAATAACCTGCACAATCTAAATTAAATTCTTCCTCGCAATAGCATATAGAAAAGAGCAAGTCAAAAAAGGTGTAGAAGGGAAAATAGCGAAAAGTGACTAGAAAAGAGTGCTACTACAGAGAACAACGATGTCAATCCAGAAAAGCACGAGTGCTATCAATAAAGTAAAGCAACTACAATATTAATGCCAATTAATCACGATGGTGTAGGCAAGCTTCATAACAAGAACACATCAGAATATGCAGAAGATAGCGACAATCCGTATTACGATGTCGATAGCTAGACGTTCTGCAATTAAATGAATTAATTTACCGGCATTCTCAGCCACATGAACACCTTCGGAAATATTTAAATTAATTTTCAAATTTGTCCGCTTGCCTCGATTTATGAAAAATGAAAAATTTGGGAAAACCTTAATTTGCGCGTGAAGTTAACGATTTTTAATTTGGAATGTTTGGAATTACGATTGTCGACCAATTTTCAATATTAAAAATGTTAACTTTTCAAGCAAATGGCTGATGAAAAACGGGAGTTCTTTATGACTCGTCCTAAAAAAACTGGCGATATTATTGCTACAATAATTTCCAAGTAACCATAACACATCTGGCTTCAGTAAACATAATTTTAATAAAAGGCTATATATGGAGTTGCAGTGGAAACTGAGGCCTCCATAGAGTGAGCGCAATTTTGAGGTAAAACGTGGACGACGTTCTCTTACCAACATTGAACCATTCTGTTCTTGCCCCAAAACACGACATGAAAGTTTGTTTGTATAAGAAATTTACAAGTTTGTCAATTTGTATTTCAAAGAGAAATTTTCGAACCTTGTAACCAACCTGTAATATAATAGAATTGTAATAGAAAACTTACCGAAACTCCTTACTATCTGATGATTGTGAGAAAACGATATTCTAGCATTTCCACGCCACCGTTGT